ATTGGTAATATTGTAATTATATTGTAGCAATATTGTAGCAATATTTTAAACATATTTAGCAAAAATCGAAGGTTTCTGCAAAGTATCTTTCTTTACTAATGGATTATTTACCTTCATTGTGTGGCTACTTTATAACCTTCGTTAAAGGTTTATAATTCTCGCGGGGAGTAATTCCGTTGATGATCATTCCCTAATGAGGAGTATTTTGCGAAATATAAATTAACTAAAAAAGGAAAAACAAAGTTGTGCGTAACATTGTGTCCTACTTTTGCCTAATAACTCAATATAAAGGACAGATGTTAAGATACGTAACAAGCAATTAACTTGATAACGACATGGTTTTATTAATAATCATAATAAAAGACATTTGTATATTGTTACAATCCTGTTTATTTGAGAGAATTCGCATGTAAATAATGAACCATGAACACAACATAAAAGAGGTCACCTGCATTTGACAAAAAAAAAACCAATACATTATGTGTATTAGAAAGGATAATACGCCAAGCTTTGTGGAATGTACAGTTTATAATAGGATAAATGGACTAAGAATATTTAGGCAAGATATCGGAGCTACCGTAACATTATGTAGATTACGCACGTATAAATAAACATTATATTTCTGCATGATCGATTTGTCTTTTTTGACCAACGAAGCTAACGAGACTTTAAAATTAATAACTAATCTAAGTTATAGCAATTATTAAACATCACATTAAACATGTCATCTGGAAAGAAAATAGATAAGTCTAACTTAACAATACCTTCTGGTAGCATTGATCGAGAAATTATTAGCATGCAGGTTTGTTAACCTTCAGAAATTTTGACAAGTTTCTTTTACATGCATATTAAACTTGATTATAACAACATAAATAAGCCTTCGGAAATCCAGCAAATGCAGACTCAGCCTTCCTATGCTGAAACATTTCCCTTAGATGGTGTTCCTCATGGATGTTATAGCACGATGATAAATTCTTTAGGGAATCTTTGTGGATTTGTCGGATCAGTAAGTGATAAAATTTCAAATTTCAACATCTATCCGTAATATTCGCATTATTTATTCTTTTGGCTTGTTTAGATTCCGATTTTGTGTTGTTGCTGCTTCAATCCTTTTCAGAGGGTTACGCAAGGAAACGTTGGTTTAATTTCACGATTTGGTACATCAACATTGCGACTATGTGCACTATTTACTTGAATTATACACTTTACTAACTTGTACATATGTATGATAGGCCGATTTTATAAGATTGTTGATCCAGGCTTGACTAAAGTGAATATTATAACTGAGAAGCTAATTTCAGTCGACATGAGGGTATTTATTTTCTGACATGTTAAAATAACCTCCTTTGTTTATATATATTACAGTAACATACATACATATCTAACATGGTTTGTTAGATACAAATTACAGAGATTCCCAGACAAGCTATTATGACAAAGGTACGTTTTATGTCAGTCTGAACCGATTTGTTGAATGGTTTAAATTATTAATGTAAATGAATATGTAGGATAATGTATATGTTCATATAGATTCTGTTCTATATTGGCATATAATTGACCCTTATCAAGCTACTTTTGGTGTTACTGATATTCGCAGAGCTCTCATTGACCGGTAATTATTTGAATTCTAAGATGACATACAGGATATCATTTCATTCAGTATTAACACAATTCTCAACTTTTATAGTACTCAGACTACATTGAGGCATACACTTGGCACACGTGTTCTTCAAGATTGCATCGAAAGTCGTGAAGCAATTGCGGTTGAAATAAAAGAAATGATTGATGAACCGGCTCACGGTTGGGGTGTTAAAGTAAATATCTATTCTTTACTATATTTTCTGTTATTTTATTTTAACTCAAGCATATTTTATAAATTTTATTAAAGGTCGAAAACATTTTGATTCGTGACATTTTATTTTCTTCTGACTTACAAAAATCTCTTTCTTCTGCTGCTCAACAAAAAAGAATTGGTGAAAGCAAAGTTATTTTGGCTCAGGCCGAAGGTAAATGCATTTTTGTTTAATATAATTAGTAATTATGCACTTAGTAGTTTATTAATATCTAATTAAATTTACAAAATAGTTGACTCTGCTAAACTTATGAGACAAGCGGCTGAAATTTTAAATTCGCCTGCTGCTATGGTAAGCATCATGAATATCTTATAATTATATAATTTATTACTTTTGAATTGTTTGAATTGTTAAAATGTTTTATTTATTTTTATATAGCAAATTCGATATCTTGAAGCAATGACTACGATGTCAAAATCCTCAGGTAGCAAAGTTATTTTCATGCCTTATTCTCCTGGGCAAGTTCAATTTGGAGCTACCAATGAATCAGGTTCTAGTAGTTTTGGTACATTTAATCCGGTTACTGCATCAATATATGAAACAATAGCAGATAAACAATAATTGGTTTATTTCTTAATGTACCGTTTCTTACCTTTAATATTATGTCAAATATTAATATCAAGTTATATATATTATATTTATTTGTTTGATATGTGATAACTAACTTATAATTCATTTTTTCTTAATTTTATATAATAACTAGCATTTTTATGTGCGAGTTATGAGGTCTATTTGGAATGGCATTATATGTTTTTGGCTTATAGTATCTGTATTGTATTTATAATCGAATTGTAAATTTACGGATGATATTATAATTACATGTTAAATTAAGTGAATAAAATAACAAATCCGAATTATTCAGTTTAAATAAATTTATTAGAATGAAAAAATGAATTGACAGCGTTTTAAAAAACAATTTCCTCATGATCTTGAGTTTAAATGTTATATGCACACATACTAAAGTAACATGACAAAATGATTCAAGCAATACTGTAAGAGTAAGTCCTAAATTGCAAAGGAAAAAGAAATAATATCTCTCAAAATAAATATCAAGACAAACAAATTGAGCTTAATTTACATGTTAAATTTAATTAACAAGCCGAATTCTTTAATTCTTCTAATGTTATTAAATCATGATCATTTTTTCGAAGTCAGAATAGTGTTTTTGCAAAGTATATCTGCCAATATTTTTTATCTTCTGATCCCAAGTTGATTATTGTAAAATTCAAAGAGGTAATTTTAGTGTTTTTAAAAACAATTCTTGAATGTGTGTCAGGTTGGTGGCGCATTAATCAGACAGAATGATCTCTTTTATTTCAGCATGTACAGTACGTTCGCAAAGCTTCTTCAACCGACTTGTACTTTAAAATTTTTTTTTTCTTTTGTGAATTGAAGATATAACAGAAATATGAATACAGTCGATTCTCAATATACAAAACTATTGTAATTTTTATTATTTTTAGTTCGTTCATTATGAAATGGCTCATTATAAAGAGAGTTGACCGTACTAATATGTAAGTAGAGTATATTTAATATTCACTAAATAAATTAATATGAATAAAAAATTAAATTCGGACAGCCGTCAATAGAAATTAAGCAGATTAATATTTTTAAAATATTGGTTAGCCATTTCATAATTTATCGATAAATACAACTATGATAAGTAAACTTATATTTATCAGTTTGTGGTTTTGCACGATAATGTTATTTTACTGTTCTCGAAATTTTTAAAACTCTAAGACCACTAATTTTGAATATAGATCTAGCATGTTGGTTATGTTACTATGCTATCTATGTTACCTATGTTCGCTATGGTCACTATATGTATACGCTATTTAAATTATTTCTAAGGTAATGATTCCTTATCGCTTACTATTTCGGGGTTCTATCAAAATAACCTAATTTTATAAAAAAAGAAATTAAAAAGGAAACTGGTGGAATCGTTTCGCCGAAATCTTCACAACACAAGTAATTACGTATTGGGGTTAAGTAATCAATACTATTCCAGGTATATTGGTAATTTTATTATGACCAGATTTTTATTAGCAAAATTAAAAATGATTAATCGAACAATTTTATATAATTTTAATTATAAAGAAAAGCATAAAATTCTAAAGGATTCACACAAATATTGTGCTCATTTTTCTAATTTTTTTTCAATTAAAAATGCCGCGTCAGAACTATTTCAGAATAACTATATCCTAAACTTGAAGATAAATTTTTGTTGCGCAAATTAACGAAATTTAAAACGTTCTACAAAAAAAACTTACATATAATAAAGAGTCTTAAAACATGGCTTTAGACATTTTATAAACAATTTGTGAAAGTTTCAAGGTAATCCCTTGCCTTGATAATTAGTTGAATCATTTAAAAGAGATTACTTAATAAGATTATAATACGTATAACATGGGTCATAATAATCTATCACCGAAATTATCTTTGTACTACATAAAAATCTGATTACTAATATCAATATACGTACTTGACATAGTTTTTGATTACTTAGCACCAAGTACGTACATACGTACATACTTATCAGCTTTCAGTTATTACGTTCAATACAGCAATAAGTATACTGTACTTGAACGTAGTTTCTATTTTACAGTACGTACATTGCATAAAAGTGCAAACTTTAGATTAAAAAGATGACAGCAAAATTTTTTGAAAAACTATCGATAGATTACCTTGAACTTCTTGATGATAAAGAAGATTTTAATGTGATAGTTAATACGAGAGAATCTTCGGGAACTAAAACATTCTATGCACATTCAAATGTTTTAAGATATAGGTCTTTGTATTTTCGTAATGAATTAGCAAACATTAG